GGTTCCTTGCAAGGGTTTTTTTCTTTGCTTCAATAAACTCTTGTTTCTGCCTTAAATCTACTTCAGTCTCTTGGCTTAACTCTTTCTCCCAAGAAGACAAAGATCAAGGATGGTGGAGCCTGCCCATACTCACCACTGGTAACACTAGAACTTCTGAAATAATATATTTTGGAATTATGCCTCCTTTTTTTTCAATAATTAGAGAAATATATTTTTCTAGCAGAGGCCAGAGGTTTCGTTTGACTATCTAAACATATCCTAATCATAACGTCTCGAGAATACAGAAATCTAAAAAAGATTTTATATCAAATATAGTGTTTTCCCATCTTCATTTATTTGGTATCTCTGGTTAATTATCTGACAGTAAAGGAGTTCACAAAAGAAATCTGAGATTCCACATTGAAATACTAATTGTAAAACAACAACAAAAACAGAAACAGAATAAATTGTATGAATATTAAATTGTATGAATATTATTTCATATTATTTAAAGATTTATTTTCTTCCCACCCAGATGTAGTAATGTTCTCTGTAGTTCAGAAATCTTATATATGCCCATTAAAAATAAGGACCTCGCCAGGTGTGGTGGCTCATGCCTGTAATCCCAGAACTTTGGGAGGCTAAGTTGGGCAGATCACACGGTCAGGAGTTTGAGACCAGCCTGGCCAACATGGCGAAACCCCATCTCTACTAAAAATACAAAAATTAGCTGGGTGTGGGGGCAGGCGCCTGTAATCTCAGCTACTAGGGAGTCTGAGGCAGGAGAATGGTTTGAACCCAGGAGGCAGAGGTTGCAGTGAGCCAAGATTGTGCCGCTGCACTCCAGCCTGGGCAACAAGAACAAGACCCTTTCTCAAAAAAATAATAAGGACCTAACTGGACTCCATGCAACTCAGAGGAACATGTACTGTGTGTAATGCTGTGGAAAGGAGACTACATGCTTTATCTCAGTTGATCTTCACAGAGACCCTATGAAGAAGCCCTATTTAATTCTTGTTTCTCAAAAGAGGAATCTGAGTTATGTCTAATTACAGGAATGGTAGATAAACCCAAGCAGTATGACTCAGCACCCACACTCAACACTGTATAATACTTCTCTGTAGAAATTAGGTCAGTATTGTTTTGAGAGCTTTGGAGGCTTCAGGGGATTCTTTTGCTTAGCTGTTAAAAAGAAGGTGTCTAAACTAACTTTGGAGGATTAAAAAATTTTCAAGACACCAAAAGTGATATTATTATAAAAAGGCACTCTGAACTAACGTGAAATTTCATTGTGACACCTTATTGTGACTGTGTAACCTCAGATGTTTTCTGTTTTAAAATGTCACTGCTATCTCAGTTGATTGTTCATCATCAGTTATAGATCTAACTTCTTGTTCTACTCTTTCCTGCCTTCTGGCTACTGCATTTGACTAGTCTAAAAAAAGTCGCTGTCTTGATTTTGGCTTTCAAGCAGTTATTTTACTGATGCCACTGAGCAGGGCCAACCTAGTTCATCTCTAGTCCCTTGGGACCCTTCCATCAGTAACAAAATTATGAAACCAGCAAAAGAGCTGAAACTACTTCCTTCCCACTTTCTTCACCAGTGCTCCCAGCCCTAAATTCATTGCTTAAGATGTAAAGGACAAATAAGTATTTTCATGTATGTTGAACAGTATAGTAGTAAGTGGTTGGATCTGAGAACAACTCATACCAACTAGAAGCCCATTAAATTCCACCCACACTTTTCCTAGTTCTCATCTTGGTCACCACCTGAAATGGAAACTCTGATGGTTTCAATCATGGTCCACTTAGTGAAATAATAACAACACCTGTTAACATAATAATATAAGGAATTAATTAAACAAGTGTTAGAGAACTGGAAAAGTAAAAAGAGCCAGGAGATAACATGGAAGCGGCCACCAAATATACACACATAAAAGGTTATCAGCAGTTATCTTCTGGTAGTAAGATTATGGCTAATTTTTCTACAAGGCATATATATTTATTTACACATATAAATTTTTTTAATGTAAAGCTTAAGTGAACACATACCTCATCCCACCTCCATTGAAACAAATACCACCACTCACATTAGAGTCTAAAAGGAATGCTTCTTACTTTTAAGTCAGTTACTGAATTAGATAGTAGTAATAGAATTCTCTAGAAAATAATTATGTAACCATATGGTGTATGAGATTTAACCATTGGAGTTACAGGTTCAAGAAGAGACTGCCAGTGATTCTAACACTGGCACCATTAATACACCTTTCTACCTAAACAGCCCCAGAAAAATCACTTTCCAGGAACAAAGAAGTCCTTAAGGTGTGTATGGAAGCTTTCACATCTTAGCTGCAGTACCTTGTATCAAACACCAATACTTTGGTTTGCCCCCACCACCACCCTTCTGTGACTTTTTTTTTTTTTTTTTTTTTTTGAGATAATGCTGTATCTATCCACATGGTCACTGATCAGAGCAGCCATTATATAATGTGACTTCGTTAACTGAGACAAGTTGATTGGTGAAGGGGTAGGCACCTGACCCAAGCTGACCCTTCCCTGGAACTGAAATCAGGAGATCAGGTCACTTTGGGGGATCAATAACATGTAAAACTTGGGAGCTACAGGTGGCCATGGAGCCCATACACATTGAGGGGCAGAGCCGGAGGTGTTTGAATTCTGCCTGAGGTCTGCTGCATTCTTTCCTCAGGTTCTGTGAAATATGGCAGTTTTCCTCTAACAACCCCAGCTTGGGGTTGTGCAGCTCCGGCAGAGATGCTGACTTTGTAATAAAAACAATTCTAATGCTATGTGGGTAATCCCCCATATAGGCACTGAGGAAGGAGAGCTAAGCAGAATCCTGGCACAATTAGTGCCTGAAGAGTATCTCAGCTTACAGTGTTACTACTCAGTTATTTCCCTTTATATAATCCTCTACATATAATCATATATTAGTTCATAAAATGAGTGCCTAAAGAATATCTTACTACTCGGTTATTTCCATATATATATATATATATATATACACATACATATAACTATATCTTAGTTCATAATCGGAGGAATGCCTAGGGTAGACACAGTACAGAGCATCAATTAAAGAATAAGAAGCTTATAGTCGGAGAAATGTCCACAGCAGACACAATGCAGAGCATGATTTAAGGGAAAAACAGTTATACCAGGGCAAGAATCCATGGCCCACATGGCAGCATTCAGTATCATAAGGATACCTGCTGTATGGCAGGCTTGGGGCAAGAGCGACTCCCCCGATAAAGGAGTTGTAGGACCTTGCAACCAGTTCTTGTGGAAGGCTGCCCTCAGACCAGCAATCTCTCGGGCATCCGAGGGCTCAAAACCCCACCAGATAATCGCACCTTGGTGACTGTGAACTTTATCAGCTCTTGTTACCGTGCTAGCTCAAAAGCATCCTCCTGTAGAACTCGCTGGAAGCTGCCAGCAGGTGGCGGTAGACCCTGACAGCTCTGTCACTGCTGTATGACTTAAGCATCCTCCTATATTCTTAGAAGTGGCGCTGGGCGCGGTGGCTCAAGCCTGTAATCCCAGCATTTTGGGAGGCCGAGGTGGGTGGATCACGAGGTCAAGAGATCGAGACCATCCTGGTCAGCACGGCGAAACCCCGTCTCTACTAAAAATACAAAAAGTTGGCTGGGCATGGTGGTGCGTGCCTGTAATCCCAGCTACTCAGGAGGCTGAGGCAGGATAATTGCCTGAACCCAGGAGGCGGAGGTTGCGGTGAGCCGAGATCGGGCCATGCACCCAGCCCGGGTAACATGAGTGAAACTCCGTCTCAAAAAAAAAA